CACAATAAGAGAAATTATATTTTATATAAGATATTTTAATATTTAAAATATTAGTTATTAAAACAAAATATATAAAATGCGTTTCTAAACCTCAGTTAAATTATCTCGTTCTTTCTTTTATTTCTATTAATTTTTAACGAAGAAATATTCAAAATATCCGTCACCGCTAATGCTCTAAAGACGTTGGTTAATTAGAATTTAATACCTGTGAGCTACTGTAAAAGCTAAATAAATGATACCAATTAAATTTAGATGATACTTTTTTTTTTGGGTCAAAAAATTTAGTTGATACTATAAAAAACAATTAATCGTAAAAGGAGAAAGAGACTGACTTTCGTAGGTGTGGGGGTCCGGGGGAGTTGGTTGTGTCCAGCCATTTGCTTGCAAAAATATTCAACAAGTTTGAACTGTAATGGGTTACTTAGCAGATTAGTCGCTAATTAACCTCATATCGATTTATACATATGCCATTTTACTCATCTGTTTTCTTCTTTCTGAACAATAAATAATACACTTTCAGACTATAAATACACTTCATTTGTTTCAATTTATAAGTTGTTTTATTAAAAAGAAAAAAATTAAGATAAACATTTTTTTTGTTTTTAGCATTCAATTATTAAAAAATTATCAATGATTATATATTTCAAATTTTACCTTTTACTTTTAATTAAATATTATTTCGTTAAATTTTATTAGACCTTAAAATCAGTTTGTATATTAAAAAAGAATAAATAATATTTATTATTGAATGTCGAATTCCTCTATTTTACACTAACTGGACTCAGACCATCAGTACAATTTCTCACCAAGTCAATAAAATAGTAAAATACTTAAATCCTAAATTATAAAATTATAAATAAATAGGAAATTTGCCACTATGTACACACAAAAAAAAATCCTAAATTCATTATCTAACAAAAATCACACACTCTCTACTCTTTTTTCTTCCTATCTCTCTCTCCATTCTCTCTTCAGATAAACCAATTATAAATCAAATTAAAAAAATAAAAAGTTACATGTGAAATTGTGAATCTTGATATAAATGCAAAGAAGCAAAGCTAGTGGGTAAAACAAAGACCCAAAGTCATCACTTGTCTCATCTTCCTTTCTCCTTGGTACTACCAAACACAACCATAGAAGAAGAAAATAGAAGTGACTTTAACTTATCATGTCTCCTCCTTCTTTCCAATGCCTAACAATCTCCTTTGCATTAATCCTCTTCCTGAGCTCATCCACTGTTCTCTCCCACCCCGATCTAGTCACCCGTTTACCCGGTCAACCCCGGGTCGGATTCCAGCAATACTCAGGTTATGTCACCGTCGATGAAAAGAAACAGAGAGCTCTGTTTTACTACTTCGCTGAAGCTGAAACTGATCCTACCTCTAAGCCTCTAGTCCTCTGGCTCAATGGAGGTTCATTTTCATTACAATCTTTTCACATAATATTATAAAAAGAAATAAAATTTATAAATTGTGGGGTTTTGAATGCAGGACCTGGATGTTCATCTTTGGGTGTTGGTGCATTCTCAGAGAACGGACCTTTTAGACCAAAAGGTTCAGTTTTGGTCAAGAATCAACATAGCTGGAACCAAGGTAATTAAAAATTATAAACTAAGCTTCTTGATTCCACATTTTGAAGTTTTGAGCAGTTCTTGATTTTTTTATTTTTTTGGGGTGGTTGCAGAGGCTAATATGTTGTATCTAGAGACACCTATTGGAGTTGGATTCTCTTATTCAACTCAGAGCTCTTCTTATGAGAGTGTGAATGATAAGATCACTGGTTAATCTCTCACTAAAACCTTTTCTTTGTTTTTTTCTTTATTTAAAATTAAAGTTTCTTCTTCTTTTTTCAAGATGTGATTTTTATAACACTGTAAACCAAAATCCTCCAGAAACTGTGCTGAATCTATTGATTTAGACTTAAAGAAACACATACTTTTGTGTCTTTTTCCTTTTTCTAAATTCAGTAGCAACAAAAAGAAATCTTATACACAAAAGGTTTTTTTTTTTTAAAAAAAATTACAAATTGGTTTTTATTGTTTAAAAATTAGAAAATTTGAGATGATGATGATGATGATGCAGTGACCTGTGAATGCCATTTCTCTGTTTATTCTCCTTTTTACAGGAAAAGCAAATATTGTTTATATTTTTCTGAAACTAAATATTTCCCAGCTTTTGTTTCTTTGTTCTGTCTAAAAGACTGACAAAAAGAACAAAAGAATTCAACCTTTTTTGCAGATCACATCTGAAAGATTATTATTCTCTTCTTCTTGTCTCTTTATGTTTTGTTCACATCTCAAACATACTTTCTCTCTTTTGTCTTTTTTTATTTTTATCCACTTCAGCAAGAGACAACCTTGTGTTCTTGGAAAGATGGTTCCTCAAGTTCCCTCACTATCTCAACAGAAGTCTCTTCATCACTGGTGAAAGCTATGCTGGTAATAACTCTATTCTTCTTCCTCTCAGATTTTTTCAATAATTTCAAACTCTCAATCATACTTTCTGTGGCTGATGTTTTGATGTAAATATAGGCCATTATGTTCCCCAACTAGCTGAGCTAATGATTCAGTACAACAAGAAGCACCATTTGTTCAATCTCAGAGGGATTGCTGTAAGTCTATAAATCTTGTCTCATTCTTGAATATGGTTTATATGATTTGAATCCTTTTTCTTTGTAGATTGGCAATCCTGTTCTTGAGTTTTCCACTGACTTCAACTCAAGGGCTGAGTACTTCTGGTCTCACGGCTTGATATCAGATTCAACATTTAAGCTGTTCACTTCTTACTGTAACTACTCACGTTATGTGAGTGAGTACTACAGAGGGTCAATGTCTGGTATTTGCTCTAAAGTGATGAGCCAAGTTAACACTGAGACGAGTAGGTTTGTTGACAAATATGATGTTACACTCGACGTCTGCATTTCCTCTGTGTTATCTCAATCCAAAGTCGTAAGCCCTAACGTGAGTCACAAGAAACATATATATTAAAGCTTTTGTTATTTGCTCTGTGGCTGTGTTAATGAACTTTGTTGTTTCCTTGGAATGAACAGCAAGTGGGAGAATCAGTGGATGTATGTGTGGAAGATGAGACTGTTAACTATCTAAACCGAAGAGATGTGCAAGAAGCTCTTCATGCTCGGCTCGTTGGAGTACGTGAATGGACAGTTTGCAGCAAGTTAGTAGTTGTGTCACCTTCTTTTCTAACAGCTTACAGATGATTACTATTGATGTTAGAAGTTATTAATGGTTTTCTCATATGATGGAAACAGTGTGCTTGATTACCAAATGCTTGATGTGGAAAAGCCAACGATTAATATAGTAGGGAGCCTTGTTCAAGCTGGAGTTCCAGTTCTTGTCTACAGGTAAAGACATTATCGATGTCTCTCTGTTAAAACATTTTTCTTACTTGCTATGTTGAATTAACGCCACGGTGGATGTATTTTCTTGCAAGAACAGTGGAGATCAAGATTCTGTGATTCCGTTGACAGGAAGTAGAACTTTAGTGAGCAGATTAGCCAAACGGTTGGGACTGAGAACAAGTGTGCCTTATCGAGTCTGGTTTGCAGGACAACAGGTGAAACAAACATCACTCTCTATTGGAAAGAAATAAAAACAAAACTAATATATTGGGTTTGTGGTCTCAGGTGGGTGGGTGGACACAAGTCTATGGAAATGTATTGTCATTTGCAACGGTGCGAGGAGCTGCACATGAGGTCCCATTCTCACAGCCTGAGAGATCACTTGTGCTGTTCAAAGCGTTCTTAGATGGTCATCCTCTTCCTGAAGAGTTTTGATATTTACCATATGTTCTGTTGAGCTTATGTAATGTAAGTATATAATATTAGGTTTTGGCTTAAGTTTTTTTCACTAAGAATGGCTTATTTAATTGGCGAAAAAGCCGAAAAAGGCGGAAAGATTTGTTTTGTTTTTGTTGTAAAGATGTGAACCTTGTTGGAAGAAAGTTTGTGTTCTTGGAATTTTAGTGTTGTGTATTAATTTGAAGGGTAGACTACAATGGGAGCTTCTACTTGCATTGTTAAGTTTTTTAAATTTGAAGAGTTATGCTTATTTCATTTTGAAGTACCCTTCTCCACCAAATCCTCAGGATGAGAAAGAGTAGTTCCCAACCCAATGTGTCAAAGAAGCACAAAGCTCTCTCCCTTTTTCGCTTTGGAACTGCACTGATTTCTGTTCCCAACCATAAAATCACTTATACTCAACTATATTCCTCCAAGAGTTTAGGAAGAATGTTTTTTCTAGTTAATGATTGCAATGTCTCCAGTTTATGTAGGCAAGATTAATCATGTTTTCCTCATATGATAACTTAAAAAGAAACTTATTGAGAGCATAAATCAGTAATTAATTATCAAAAGCTAAATCACTTTTAAGACCAAGTGAGGCAATAACTTTTGAAAAACTTGCAACTTGGCATGGGAGTCCTACTTCCTGCAACTCAAGTAGCATTATTGTCCTCAAATATCTCAATGGTTTCATTGATATCTAGCAAAGAAACAAAGTAGACTCATCTACCTTGCGTCCGTGATGACAAAGACTTGTTGCTGCTCACAAGCACCCTCCCGGCCTATTTAAAGGGGTATAAGAAAGATGTAAATATCACTTTATAACTAATGTTTACTTGAGTCATATTGTGCTTTACTAAAACCAACCGATCAAAGAATGTTGGATGATAAGTTTGAGTAAGTCTGGGACAAAAGGAGTTGCTAGCGACTAGCGAGGAAAAACCCGCCAAGAGTGTATGTGGAAATCCCAAGTGAACAATAATGGTATTTGAGGAATTTTATCAGTAGGGTGTGATTTTAAAATGTTTTTATGTTATGGAGTAGATAAAGGTTCCTTTATTATTTGTTGTCAACTAAATTTATAAAACATTAACACTTGCCATCTTTCATTGATTTGTTTTTTTTTTTAAAGAGAACTATAAATAATTATCGAAAACCCACACATAAAAAGAGAGGGATATATATTAAAAAATTTTGATTAACCAGGATGTATTTTGCATCTATGGAATGGCTCATAATAACCCAAAAGGACATGTAGTCCACATATGGACCCTCAAAAGAGAGTTATAAAATGTTACACTGAAAGCAAAAATTATTATTAAATAATTAATCATTAAGCAGTCCTACCATAATGCAAAATCATGACATGATCACTAGTTGATGAATCCCTAAGCAAAGTGAAAGAAGGAGATGATGATGGTAATGATGATTTTGGACTCCATATGGTATCTCTGACATGCTGCATCGTCAACAACGGCGATAATTGTTGCCCTCTGCATCTTATTTCTATCTGTTTCAATAGTATGCAACCATCAAACAAACCAGAAAGAATCAAGATCACATGATATACTAAAAAGGCTAGATCACAATGCACATGTTCTGAAAACTTGACCGGTTAGATCATCTATTGGATTACCCCGTCTATGACTACTGTAACCACTAAATTTTCTATTATCTATGTATCTTTTTTATTTATTTTTTTCCCAAAATGTGAATTTCATATATGATATGAGAAATATCTTTTTTTATTTGTTATCATGTAAAGAAACTTGTGCTCTGTTTGTTGACGTAGTTAGTGTAACGTATTCCTAACACTAAAATCCCCACTTTCCTCGACTTAACGCCAAAGATAAGAAGTTTAAAAAAGCAAAAGAACTAATTGGTCAGTTGACACTAAAAGGTGATGAAAAAATAATTTCCCTAGTTTACGAAGGGAAATAAGTTTAAATCTTTTCCAGTTCTCACTTTCATACAAACAAGGTAATGAATAAAATTCATTCAAGTTCGAACACTAGTAGTTTATTTTGTGTTCTATTGTAGGAACGTGATTGGTTGGTGATGAGATGATCTCTATTTCAACATTCATGAAAATGGACTACTGGGGATTACGATGCGACATTCTGCACGTAACCCCCCCCCCCCCCTGTTAAAAATCTATCTGGTATTCGACGAGCAATTAAGAGAATAGCTGACCGTACCAAGCATAAGCGTGACGAAAATGTTAGTTTATTTTTTCCCGGTTTTCAGCATGACATATATTCCACTTTAAAGAAAATCAAACAATAGGAATACCTTCAAATACGGTCACCTACCTTAGATCAGCTATTGAAACAACTTTTATTCAGATCTGCAAACATTATACTATTCTCTAATATCGGTCAAGATTTTTGTTTCATTGTTTTTTTCACGGTCAATATCTTACGATATATAAATAAATGTAATATTGTAGGTTGGTTAACCCTAGGTAACAGTTTTTTCTTTTAAAAAAAGGTTTAAAAGAACCAAAATATTTAAACCCTAACTTTAAATTTCCCTCATAGCAACAGCTTTCAAACAAAAATTAGAATGTCAACTCCCATGGTGTTACCAAATAATTAAGTTATGCGAGGAAAAATGAAGATTTTTTAAGCCGGTGTTCATATAAGACTACTACTTCTAGTAGTGATATTAACTATTCTTTTCGACATGCAGTGTTGAGTGTTCATGGCATTTCTTTTTAGGAAAATTCAATACCTTTTATCCAATTACTTGATTAGAAAGTCAAATAAAAATGCTTTGCATTCGATTTTGATTGACTTTTAAATGGTGTATGAACTAATTAACTGACTAGGAAAAGTATTAAACTATCCAAAGATTAATTAGGGAAATTTTGATATGCTTGTGAGAATAAATTTTCTTTTGGCTCGATGGAAAAGACAAAGTTAGCCATGCATGCATCAATGCTTTTCATATCACGTTTTTCACCAAATACTTATTTGATTAAGAATATTATATGTCATCCATTGGTTTATTGGTGCTGTATACTTATTAAAATATTAAATATCAGTATATCTTATATTCACAATGCTTTGATTAGTCGGACCAAATTTCAATATATTCTTGTGACGACATGCAGCATGCTCTCAAGAAAATAAGCTAAAATATAGAGAGAGAGAAAAAATTCATGGTATTGTACATTTTGCGTGAAATCCAACTTTTCACAAATGATTTTGATGAATTAAAACCCATTAATTTGAGGCTATTTAGTACCATTTTGTCAATAATTCCTTCCTACCGTTTACATTACTCGAACTACTGGTGCTAGATACGATTTTGAAGTCTTTTGTTTTCAAATCTTAAATCAAAATGTTATTATCTAAACTATTATGAAGCGTGCGCTGTTATAGATGCTGATCTCTAATCTCAACAATCAAGACGACTTCAAAATCATCAATGAAACTATAATCGTACGATTTGTTATCTAAAGTCTGATAGAGTCAGGGCTGGATAGAGTGTGCGTCATAGTAGACACTGATCTCTAATCTCAACAATCAAGACGTCATCCAATCGTCAACGAGATAGCACAACTAAAATTTTAAAAAGATTTAGCCGTAGTTATGACCACGTAGAAGGATGCTTAGACGTTAATTTACTCAACTAGTGTTTCAGAAAGTGACATTCTTTTGTAATGTAGAATAATATCATGTATATGAGAAATTAGGGATACCTAGCCGAGTCCATTAGCTTGTCTCATTCAATTAAGGTAAAACTCAAAATTTGTGTTTCACCACCTAATATCTAAACAGCAGCTTTCTGAACCTGGTAGATTGGATGAACTATGTGTAGACACATACAAGCACACCTATGCATGTAGTCAATTCTTGTAGGTCACACGGGATCATTGCGCATGGATATGTGTTTGTGAGCCTATCTAGACCCCATGGGAACATGCAATATACATAGATTAATGTAAATTCTGATAACGAGATCACCTACACATACATATACGCATGAGGTTGCATTAAGATATACTTTATTTTCTGATTTCTACTATTCTCAAAGCAAGCATGCCTGATGACCCAGACTTGTTTTATTCCACAAATAGCATTATTATAAATTATTACCAGTAACTATATTATAGGCTGAAACTCATGAAAAGGCCAGTTATATAGTTCCCCTCTCGTTTTCCAGTTTCCTAGAGAATATACAATATAACAAACCAATAATGATAATAATTATTTATAAGGTAGTGGGTACTTCGAGAAGTGATCAGTTGAGCAATATTTTTGTCAAATGAGATGGTGGAGTTTTTGGGTGATCAAATTTCTTACTAATAAAGATTATAGAGTCACTTAAGAAACGAATCTTTTGATAAATCCTTAAGCCAACAAAATCATGTATAACTCGTTTGAATTGATTGATTGAGCACTTAAGGAATCAAATTCTAATATCCAGAAGCTAGATTATTCATTAATAATTAGATTTGCGCCAAATTAAGGATGCTGTGTAGCCCTAATATTCACAAAGTGGTTTCATCACCTAGCCTATATTACTAATTAAAGTTCCATATCTAGCTAAGATTTGTTTGAACTAAGTTATATATAAATTACGACACCATGACATCAGACGTGTGACCTAACAAGTTGGGGATTGAGTTGTAATGTCGTTTTCATTTCATATCCACAAAACTTAGAAGATTAAAAACACATACAAAGAGTTATAAGCTTTAGGTATTTACCTCAGAGTCGCTATCCAACTGAAGCTTCTTCATAAGGTACTTAATTAGCAATCTAACTGTGATTCTCCCATCCCTTATCCATGCAAATTCAAATTGTTTTTCCAAAAATTAGAATATAACAGAAGCAATCTTAATTAGTAACAAATAAGTTTAAATAATGCTTGAGGACTTACTTGATTCTTAAGTAGCTTTTGTTTACTTGAGGCAAGAACGGTTCCTTATCCCTGCGTTCACAAATCCAATTTATCAAATATATACACATATGCTAAAAACATCGATCGATCACCTAATAAAATTAATCTAAACAGCTAAAGGATTAAGGAAACAAAAAAAAAAGAGAAAGAGAGCTGTTATTTACTGAGATTGTGAAGCTAGAAGAAGAAACCAAAGACCAGAATGTGGTCTTTTTGGAGGATCAATAACCCTAAACTCCGAGCTTGGTCCAGCTCCTCCCTCTTCCTCCTCACACCAACTCCTTGTAACGCTATTATTTTTAGTAACGTCAATCTCACTCATCATTCCTATTGTTGACTCTCTAAATGGCGCCGTATATTGAGATATCCACGGCTTTAAAAATGGAAACGTAAAGTCACGGTTTAGTAACGTTCGAGGCTGCGGTTGCGGGTGATCTACACTACTTCTTCTAACCGCTCCTTCCGCGTTTGAAGATGAGGTGAACAAACTGAGCTCTAACGAATTTTCTCTCCCACTTGCTTTTTTGCTACAACAACTTTGGAGTTTATACGATGCCGTGTTGTTGTTGTCCCCCTCAGGGCCTATACCTAAGCGGAGCCAAGATTTGTCTCTGTCACCGTCTTCTATGTTAATAGAGGAGACGACGTCGTCTTTTGCGGCGGATCCGTCGTCTTTGTTATAATAATCAGTAGAAGCTGCTAGTGGATCGGAGACAGAACATGCTTCTCCACTAGAATCTTGATTGTTTATTGTTTCTTTTCTCATCATCATTTCCTCCGTGAAGCCGCCTCCGCCGCTGTTGCAACCGCCGTAGCTAAAAACGCCGTTTAGCGGTGAGGGCTCAAGAGGAACCATATTGGTCATATATGAAGGGATTAAGAAAGGAGCTTTAAAGAAGGCATGGTTTTGTGGAGAGGAAATGATTCTCATGGAGAAGATAAGAGTTTTGTTTATTTAGTTATTTCTTTTTTTTTTCCTTACAAATATTTTATATACATTTGGCAAAAAAATAATAATTATATATGTACTTTTTTAATTATATGATATGTGTAGGGTTTCTGAGTGAGAGAGGACGAGGAAGAGAATGATTCCTCTGTAAATCATACTTTCCATTAATTCTTTTTGTTTGGAAGCTTGTGGGAATGTAGAGTGTGATGGTCTGTCTGTCAGATTCAATAAAAAAAAATATCTGAAATTATGAAAACAAATTTATGTACGTAGAGATCATATATACGTCATGTAAAAGCTTATTATATAATTTAGGACTACACCCTTTTTTCTTACTGAAATTGATTTTAAAAATATTAATTATTCCTGCAAAAGTTTATAAAGGACTAAAGGTATACCATGCAAGGAAAAAGGATGAAATGAGGTGTGATCGATCCAGCTAATCGCTTTTTCAGGCCATGTTCCGAGGACATAAAATTTAACAGCCAAAGTTATGATTTTTTAGAAAAGGAATTTAAATTATTAATATCCTTGAAAAGTTTATTTTTAGCCCTAATGGGGTTCTCCCTTTTAATGTAGTTTCTGTGATATTTTATAGTTGTAATTGTAATTATCTCTTCGAAAAGTTTTTGGGCGGTCAAATATCTTTTCCACCTCTTTTAATTATTCGTAATAACGAAACTGTTTACGGATGTGGTCTTTCTTTTTTTTTGGACAAACACGGATGTGGTCTTATTAACTGATTCGCCATTGTACTATATGATTTTTTGGGTCGAAGTTTCATGTTTAAATGAGTCTTTAGACTGTATGATCCATGAGTCGCACAAAAAAAAAAAAAAGAAAGACTGTATGATCCATTGCCAATTTAAATATAGTATCGACAAATGCTAAGTTAATTTTTTTACTCAAAAGTGATAAAACAACTGTTATTACTGGTTTGCTTCTAATTATACACATAAGTTTATGAATGCGTCATGAAAACCATGTCGCGCATTTGCATATGCGTATAAGTATAACATATGTGGAGGTCCATTGGATTTGTAGTGATCGTCAACTAATCTAGCTAATTTCAATTACAACCATCGATTTCTCCGAAAAAGAAATTGATCGATCATTGCGACCCCTTTTTGTTTTCGTTAAAGATCATCATGTTCTAAACTATTTCAATAGTCTTACCTTTTTATCTTTCACCAAAGTCTTACGGAAAATAGCATCATAAGTTAATCATGTGTATCAAACCTAACTAAAAATTTGTGAATATCGAGGCTATAGTGTATGTTCTTGAAAGTATTTTGGTCATAGAAGGTAAACTAAGTTACTATTGGTAATATTAATATATTGACGTACTACTAGTAGCTTAACTATACATGCTAAATATTATTTTGTTTATGCCTTTTTATTAGTGTTATTTTGTTCATACCTTGCACATATACATTTCTAATATCTTAAACAAGTATCTAAATGGATGATCAATTACATTAAATGTTGTTGTTTTACTACACACTTATCTAGCTTGTAGACTTCTAATATTGATGGTTTTATTACTACAAATGTGTAAAATAGATGTGCGTGCATCTTGTTTATTTTTGTAATAAAAATGTAGGAAATATGAAGTTCTATATATTTCTCTTCGCTACATATATGCATATTACAGAGGAAAGGCCATGATTGAGTTGAGCAAATAATAAAATATAACTTTAAGATTAGAAATAGGGCAAGTGGAATGGGCAGAGAGTGGAGAGGAATATGATGACAATACCTGTCAAGATGTCAATAATAAGATAAATTACTTGAATATTACATACAATAAAATATTTATACATACATGATAGAAGTTGAATCAAACTAAAAGAAAACCAAGAAAAAGGGAGGGAGCGTGAAGAAAGAATGAAAGTTTAATAATAAACAAAGGATATAAGAAATAGAAAATGTTAAAGCATGTGTTATTTTTGTTTATATATACGGGTGAAAATGTGGGATATATTTCTTTTTTGTAACACTAAAATGTAGAGGATGCGAATCTACAAAGAAAACCCTAAAATGTTACTTACTCTCGATTTCGTATTGTATATTGTATGATATTTTATATTGATACGCATATTAATAAATTTACATTTTAAAAGACAAAAAAAAACATTTACATTTTCTCAAAATATCACTTATATAATACAAATTAATTTATTTAATTATAAATAAAATATAATTAGTTATATAGCTTTAATAAACTTAAAAGTACCTATATGTGAAGACATCATATATATTGAAACAAACAAGGGAGTATAATATAAAAAAAAAGCTCAAAAAGAAAGGAAAATTAATGAAAAGTAATGAAAAATAGAGTTGGGCATGCATGATAGTGTTTGGTATCCGCAGAGCCCGAGGACCTAAACCACAGACGACGTGGGACTCTTCTGCTCTTTCTCTGAACTCCATGTGACCCCCACAATTCTCCTACCTACATACAACATAACACATGCATGTATACTTTTTTACTCTGATTGTTTTTTTATACATTTTTGGCTATATTCTTCAATCTATCATATAAATTTTCTATAGCTGTATGTAGTGTAAGTGCAAAGATGACACCATAATATAGTACTGCAGAAGATAAACCAAGAGACAAAATAGATATAAGCAAACACTATGTTTTATTAGAAATCATCAATAAACAATATATTACAAGACTTGCTTATCAGCTTTACACAGCCTGTTAACACCCTAACAGCTGCTACTGAAAGATTCATAATCTATCCAAACTTGTCTCTCCATCGTCATATGCTTCAGCACGACCCAAGAACACCCTAAGGAATTTTCACCATTCCTCTATAATAAAAGCCCCAAATGTCTTATGGAATACACACGACTCCATAGTTCTTTTATAGTGATCTCCACGTTTCTGAAACCGTAGTCTCCAAGGCAACATGGATATATGGACAACTTCCATATTAATAAGTACACTTTCCTTTTCTTGGATTTGTACTTATTCCTCAAGGCATAAACTTGCTCTCCAAGTTATCTCTTGCCTTTCTCCATGGTATAAACTTGCTCCTCAAGTTTACCACGCCAGCTCAGCATTTTGCATCCACATGGTCTCTACCACTCTGCATGCCTCCTAGTTCACTCTCTGACACACACTGCTTCAGCAACTACTTCAACGACTATGTCAAGACATAAACCTCTAGTTTATCCTTCTCCATCTCAGCATATCCTGCATCGACATGGTAACCCACCACTTCGCATGCCTTATGTAGTAACGACTAATTCCTCCATCATCAGTGACTTCGTCGCCTAATTAGTCACAGAAGACCATTGACATCTACAAGCTCCACTTGCATCTTTATGTAGTCTTTGCTGCTGCTTGTACCTTTTTTACCTTCGAGGAACTATTATGTACACCTTTCGGTTACTATCAACCAAAATAATACCACACCATGTAATGAGTGCAACAGTGTTACAGTGGTCAACAAAAAAAGACAGACAATAACAGTCCTAAAAGAAAAGTCTGCAAAAATTAGAACTGATGATAGAACATAACAAGGCAGATTACTCTTTTCTTCATTCCTGTTTTTGGTAAGAGCAACCTCAAGACACATGTGGCCTAGTTTGCCATCCATGGTTTTCCTTACTACGGCACGGTGATCACCAGCCAAAGGCGTTGAACAAGGATCAGAGCAACACTTGTAACTAATGTAGAAGATTGCGTTTTCAGGTTTGAGCTTCTGACTCGGCTCCAAAGTTTCCACAACAATACTGTTGAGCTCCAAGGGTAGGTAAGCCTCCAAACGCTGCAGTTACATTTGTGTAAGAGAACAACAAGTAGAGAGAGGACAAGAAAATTGCAAAGAAAGAAAGAAAGAAAGAAAGAAAGAAAGAAAAATACATACACAATCTGCTTTGGAGAAGAAGGCGACTTCCATGAGAAGTTTTTGGATATTTAGATTTTGTAAAAAAATTATTAAATTTTTCTTTTTTTTCAAGTTTTTTATATTTAAAAATATAGCTTTTCACTTAACTGGTTTTTTTAATATATTGAATGATTAATAGATTTGAAGATAACATTTTAAAAATAAAATCACTACTGTTCTTTTTAATTTTAGATGTATTTTTTGTTAATACATAAACAAAATTTTTGTCATGCATTTTAAGTGAATAAAATTTCACTTTTCTTGAAATTATATGTATATTATCTAATTTTCAACCATGTACATAATCAATATAAATATTTTTTAATAAAACTATAAATGTAAACTAGGAATATAAAGTTAAGGATATACATGTTCAGTTATCTACATACATTCATTTAGGGGTTCGGGTTCAGATATCTAATCTTTCATAATTCATTACCCGTTCAATTATTTTACTATTCTGATTTGGATTTCGGTTTGGGTTTTTTGAGTCGAGTTCGGATACGAGTTCAGATTTTATGTAAAATGCCCAACCATACATATAATATTAACATACCCAAGTTTGACTTTTTTGGAGCTTGATCTTTTCTTTGCAAGTATATGCCATCAGATTTATGAACACTATTCGTTGACATGTATAATTTTTTATATTATTTATGTCTTATTAATTAAAAACCCCGCAAAAAGGTTATTTTCATATTATTTAGTAGTTTAATTCAAACATCAAATTATTTATGTATAAACAGAAAAAAATCATCAAAATATCTATGATTACTTTTGTCTTGAAAACTCTTACATATTAGAAATACTAGAATGAATACCTCTATATATGCGAGTCATGAGATGCGTTGCTTCAATTCTATCGACGATACTCTCCCCTAAGCATAAGCATATACCTGTTGACTTTTGAAGAGCTAAAGGGATACGAAAATGGAAGAAATAGAGAGAGAAGTGATCAAGCCTGCTACACCTTCAACTAATGATCGTCTTCAACTCTCCCTGCTGGATCTCATGAATAGCCCAGCTAACGTGCCCGTGATCTTCTTCTACGAAACTGATGATGAAGATGTCGCGCCAGAGATCATCTCCGCGAAACTGAAGAGCTCACTGTTCCAGACTCTGTCGCGCTTCTATCCACTCGCTGGACGAAGAGAAGGCATCACCATCAGCTGCAACGACGAAGGAGCCGTCTTCACTGAGGCACGCACCGATCTCCTTCTCTGTGACTTTCTGAAAGACGTTAACGCTAGCTCCCTGGAGAGATTTTACCCGACAATGGCCCCTGGAGATTCTCCCACGGAGTGGCCTTTGTTGAGGGTCAAGGTTACTTTGTTCGGATCGAGATCTGGAGTGGCGGTCTCAGTCTCTGCCTCTCATAGCATCTGCGACGCAACCTCACTGCTGACCTTCATCACGGACTGGGCCACGACCACCGTGAAAGGGAGGATGTCCTCAAATAATAATAATAATAATAATAATACGATTCATTTTGCTGAGACGACCATTTACCCTCCTCCTGATATCTCCTTTTTACGGTCCCTACCTACTGCCGGTCCACCGGGGAAGTGTGTAATGAATAGGTTTGTTTTCGAATCTTATAAGATCGAAGAGCTGAAACGCAAGGTCGAAGGAGCAGGTGTTCCCGCACCTACACGTGTGGAAGCTATCATGTCACTTGTTTGGACATGCACCAGAAATGCCTGGCACTCTAACTTGGTGTCTCCAAGGTCAACGTTAATGCTTCAACCAATGGATTTGCGCTCTAGGGTCCCTTCTACGGATGTTTTCTCCATCGGAAACCTACAGACAATGTTCCTTCTTAAGAGAGGCGTGGAAAGCAGCAGCAGTTTCGACTTGGAAATATATGAAACCATTGCCGAATTTTGCAAGGCCAAAGAATCAGTCAACGAGATGATTAAAGAGAATCTCCAAGGCAACACACTTGGTCAGTCTTTAATGCGTGTCATTGGAGATTTCGCGTCAAGTCTCACGCCAGAGACAGACTTGTACTCAATGACTAGCTGGTGTAGAAAGCCTTTCTACAAAGTTGACTTTGGATGGGGTACTCCTGCATGGGTTGGATCTACCTCGACATATAACAACGTTGCATATGTCTGCCTCATTGACTCGAAGCATGGATAAGCTTACCCGAGCAAGATATCCCCATCTTCCTCCGTGACCAGGACCTTCTTGCTTACGCCGTTCTAAACCCTCCGGTCCGGATCTAACCAATCACATCTTACCGTGTGGAGAAAATTAATTGCCATGACTTTCCATCCAATTTTGTGCCACGCTTGGTTTAATAAATTGCATTTCACTCTCTTTACATTTCATGTTGGGTTTACTATATGTTAGTGCTTGCTATTTTTGTTACCTTCACTTTTTGTATAGGGTAGGGTTCCAAATCCTAAAACCCTAGGGTAGGATTCCAAACCCTAAAACCCTAGGGTAGGGTTCCAAACCCTAAAACCCTAAACCCTAGGGTTCCAACTTAAAACCCTAACCCTAGGGTTCCAAACACTAAAACACCCTAGGGTTCCAAACCCTAAAACCCTAACCCTAGGGTTAGGGTTCCAAACCCTAAAACCCTAACCCTGGGTTAGGGTTCCAAACCCTAAAACCCTAGGGTTAGGGTTCCTTAGGGTTCCAAACCCTATAACCCTAACCCTGGGGTTAGGGTTCCAAACCCTAAAACTCTAACCCTAACCCTACCCTAACCCTAACCCTAACCCTAGGGTAGGGTTCCAAGGGTTCCAAACCCTAAAACCCTAAACCTTAAACCCTAAACCCTAAACCCCAAACCCTAAAACCCTAACCCTAGGGTTCCAAACCCTAAAACCCTAACCCTAGGGTTCCTAACCCTAGGGTTCCAAACCCTAAAACCCTAACCCTAGGGCCAAACCCTAAACCCTAACCCTAAAATTCCAAATCCTAAAACCCTAAACCTAAAACCCTAGGGTTTCAAACCCTAAAACCCTAAACCAAACCCTAAAACCTAAGGTTCCAAAACCTAAACCCCAATGAGCCGGATACATCAATCTAATTAATAACCAATTATTTGTCAACATTAACCACTTTTAGCACTTGTAGGTATGATTTATCTATCAGAATGAGAATCTAAATTTGGAAAAAGATTGTTAACAAATATCTATACTATTAAAACAGAAGGAGTTTAAATAAATCTACCTATGAAAGTTGTTTGAACCTTTTCATTAGACTTAACCTTTTTGGTCTTACCTTTATTTTCTCTAAATATACAACATTATTATTAATTAATCTATAAGATTCTCCTAAGATTTTGTCATTAATTTTTGTTAGTAATTGTAAAAATAAAATCGCCATATTAATTATTCTATCCCACAATAAATACAAGAGCGTTAACCGGTTTAGTATTTATTCACTTCCAATTTTGAATTAAATCACTTACAACAAATAATAATTCTAAATGTGGACTAAGTAAACATACTACAGTGAAATTTTTATAATTTAAAAATGTTAGGACTACACCAAAACTTAGGACTACACCAAAACTACAATTTCTTAGTAGTTTATAGAGATTATTAATTTATCGATATACTATTGAACCAAAAACTCAATTTGAGACTATAAAACTATATTATATTTTATAGAACTTTTTAATGTGTATTAATTTATAAAGTATTAATTTTAAAAAGCTATACTGTAAAAGGTAATAAGATTTTTATACAAATTAACAACATATATATCTTTTTGTGCATTTCAAAATGTTTCAGAAATAAAAGGGTATAGAATCTATAGGTTAACAAACATAATAACATCGAATTATTATTCTAAAAATCTATGAATCAATATTCAAAATAAATCAACCGAATATAACTAAAAATCCTATACCCTAAACTATATAGCATATACATATTTGAATATCATTAATTTTAATACCAAATTAAAATTTTAGCTAAAAATTAATATGAGTAAATAATTAAATAAAAGTATTAGAAAACTAACTTTTAAATCTAAATAAATAAATAAAGTTAAAATAAGTTATTAAAAATGGAGCACAAAAAAGTTATTAATGATGAAAATAAACTAATCTTTTCATAACAATTCTTTTTTTTTTTCTGTCAACGTTATTTAATTGATTTTATAAAACTTTGATCAAAAGCTAAGAATATCCAATTTTAAGTAATTTTAATAATATATGAAAATTTTATCAAAGTACCAATTTTTTTTAAAAAAAATTTATGGGACCAATTAGTAACAGATTTTGGGTTGTTATCGGATTTTCATTAATTATGATTTGGATTATATTTTGGGTCTTCGAATCTACTGATTCGACAATAGGTCTTGATCGTATATGAAAATGTCGTTGTAACTAAAAAAAGTATGATAAAACAGTTTTAATATTATTTATTTAATTAAAAAAATTCAAAAAAATTTATAAGAAGAATCAACAAAAAACACCCGCGCTTTAAAAAGCGCGAGTCAAAATCTAGTAATGAATTAAATCACATGAGGATTGGGTAACATAGGTAATTTTATATGATTTAAGATTTTTAATAGTTATCAACTACTTTATATGATTAAAGAGGTACTCCCCTCATTCCACAGTTCGCTACAAATTCTTCATGATCGTGGAACCTGAACCGGTCATGGTCGATAAGGAGGCACATGTGATCATGACTGGAGAGGAGTGCTGGGCTGGAAACACTTATTCAAATTTTGTCATGGTATAATATTGTTTAAACTAAATAGAATAACACTTATAGTATAATATGTAGATACTTTCAGTTATGAATTTATAATAAGCATGTTCTTGAAGACGGGTGGAAGGTAGAAGGCGAGATTGTTCTTGAAAATTAGATCTTAGGTGTGATATGGGCCATATAGATTATTGTAAGTAAGTTAAGGGCCATAGACAAAAGGATATTGTGGGTTTCAAAGTTGTAACTATATCAAACATAAAAATGAAATAGTTTGTTTTCTTAATCCTTCTCACTTTAAATAGGTTTTTATATATTTGTAATAAAAATTAATGGTATTATATAAAATTATTTATTTAAACTATTCTATGCTGATTTTCATTTTATATTTGATGATTTAAAATCAAATGAAATAGTTCGTTTTCTTAACCCTTCTCACTTTAAATATTTTTTATATATTTGTAATAAAGTTGGCTAATATGTTTCCTTTTTTGTACTTTATACATTGCATTTTTGATAAATTAACCCAAAAGAACTCCACCCTTAAACTTCAATTGCATTGAAACACATATTCTTATATGTAGATTTGAATGTAGCAAAATTATGGTTTTTGATTTTTTTGACATTTTGTTTGATTAAAAATACATAAATAGAAGTTATATATGTGAAAATAACAGCCATCAATAAACTTGTTTAGATTTTATTTGCTTCAGTCAGATAGTCGTATTTAAACCCCCATTTAAAAATACACCTATTATTATTATCAATATTCTTTAAAATACACTTATTTTTACTATTAATAATAAATGAACAAAATATAATAAACTACAAATTCTTCAATTTCAGAACCGGTTGGGTTTATGATGACATTAAACGCATCAAATGCACATGATATTTGCAGATTCCTACTGTTAGCAAATCACATTTTTACTGTTTACTGGACCATTTTTACTGTTTAATTATACTAATTTCATGTGAGGACGAAACCTTATTTATTTTGAATAATATGTACAAATATTAACCTAACGAAAATATGAAACAAACCTAGGAGTTTTAAGTTGTTGCTTGCCAGAGCTTGGAGATGGTCAAACTGTCTCAGCATAAATTCCTGCCCTGCCATAAATAAGGGTCAAGTCGTTAGTAGATCACAAGCAGACATAAAGGGCTTTTTGGTTCTTATAATTTTTCAATCGAGATCAAGAAACTGCCAGGATAATCAATATTTTTTTTTTTATATTATGAAAGCAAAACATGACTGAAACTGTAAAATAACATAGATATACATATTAACTTCCCCACTCACATTGTGTACATGGTGAAGATTGGAGCTCTCATGACGTACTTTCCATAGCAGCTTCCAACTCCCAAACTGAATACAAAATAAGGAAGTCTATGTTTTAAATGGCGCATGGCGCTCAATGGCGAGGTGGGGTGTGCCTTGTGCCTCGCGCCTTGCACCATGGCGCAACAAAGCGATCGCCATCTAGACTTAGTTAGAAAATACGTTAGATACATAAGAACTTAGAAAAGCTATAAAAAAAACCTTAATCTAAATGAATTATTATTTGATAAAACGCAAAGCAAAAATTCAGTAATTCAAAACCACAACTCAAAAATCAATTATGCAAAACAAAATACACAAAATCCAAATAGCCTTGGCTTGACATTATATAAGCCACGAGAAAGGGAAGTGAGAGAGCATATACTGTTGACTACTAACCTGGTCCTCACCATCGCCTGTGAAAGAGGCACCATCACAGTAACACAATTTGACTCTATTCCATTTGTAGAAGTATGCATCAAATAAAGATATTCAGTCACTACAGGAAAATGATAAAAACTCATATGATATAGTTCTGAACAACAAACCATGATTCTCATTAGCTTTGTTGCTTAAGATTCCAGTAAAGACCAAAACTTTCTCCATGTGATTTGATGAGGCACTGTGTGTGGTTTTCCTGTAGATAGAGCTCCTCCGTGTATTGGACCATCCTCCTCCCTGCATCACAAGTCATAACCATTTTTAACCAAACAAATCTTCTAAATTCAAAAACTACAATTGTGAGCAAATAGGCAAATATTTAATATATGACTTAAACTTTCAAGGAATCTTTTTCATATACTTTTTCTTAATCATGCAACCCCACAATGAGCTGGAATTTTGTTTTGCTAAGACAATTGTAGAAAGTGACAAAAGCCTAGCAACTTTTTCTATTTCTTTGGTCCATGAACAAATCATACTAGGCCGATTTTTTAAATTAAAACACTCATCACAGAATAATCACTACAGAGAAGTGTTTTCCTTTTTTGCTAGTCAATAATTCAAACATGTATTCAATGGGACAAAATTATATTAATCAAATAACTAAAAGCAAAATAGAAGGTTAAAAGGTACCTGAGAGATAAGCATGGAACGCTGGAGCTGATCATTCTTTTTTATGAATCGGCCTCTCAAAACCAATTAAGAGGCGTTCCATATTCGACCTTCTTCAGATCGCCTCCGGAAAGAATGTAGTTGAAAAAGAGAATAGCCGGAGCCGTTGATGAATGTGCCGTTGCGGATCTAGCAATTTCCATGCAATCATCAGGTTTTTCAGATTCTCTTTTGAGTTCGAGGGAAGAGGGAGAAACCTCTAAAATATAATCAGAATAACAGTTATTGTTGAATTTAAAAACATTGAACGACAAGAAGGTAAAGAGACACGAAGATAAATTTTGCAAGAGAAACAGAGACAGCTAGTCGTGAGAATGACCCAAACTCAGCAGCTAGGATGACATGGCAAATTAAAAGCCTCTCATTAGTTGATTTTTTTTAATCTTACGTGGACACTCTCTCTATTGAGAGTATTCCTTTTATGACTAGTTGCATATTCCCCGCGCAAGCGCGGGGCCGGGATTATTGTGTTTGCGTGTATTTTTTTCGATTGTTGGTTTAGTGGATTCTTCTAATGACACCAAATAATAATGAAATGGAAAGAATGTAGTAATAGTGTAAATTGAAAATATTGTATATATAATGTGTTAAATGTTATTTATATGCGAAGTAAGGTTTATAGAAATAGTTAGGCTATAAAATAGTTTTTAGTGTGTAAAAGTAGGTGTCTATTTTTTTTTTTTTTTTGCTGTAAATAGTTTTTATATTGTAGGTCAAAACTTGATATAATTCTATATTTATAGTATTTATATTTGTATTAAACGATTTATCAATATGAAAATAATCTTAATTAAGTTAATATTCGTTGTTTAAGTTTCATTAGATAGGTTTTTAAATATGGTTTTTTTGTAAGTTTGGGTTTTGTTCATAAATGATGTGGCATTTTTATCTACGGCGTCATCGACTGTGGGAATCCATTCGTCGGAGTCTGGAATGGGTGGTGAGGAATGTTTTCAATGAAATTATAGTAGTTATTAAAATGTAAGAGAAATTACATATTTATTTAACAAATAATGAAAAATAATTTAATTTTGTTGTTTTTTTAATTTTATCTCACATACAATTTTTTTGAAAATATATATTAGGTAATATGTGCAATGATTTAACTTTTTGAGCTCTTAATCTATATTATTCAAGCCTCATTAAGCCATCCACGTAGGCATGCGCGTGAGACTTACTTTTTGTGTTTTTTGGTCTGTTCGTTTTTGGATCCATTTTTTATTATTTTTGGGTTGAGATATAGTATAATAGGATAGTTTTAAGCCTCATTAAGCCATCCACGTGTGGGACTTGCTTTTTTTTCTTTTTTTTTATTGTTCATTTTTGGATCCATTTTTAACTATTTTTGGATTTGAACTTGTTAAGCTTTAAGGTTTATCCAACTATTTTGATCTTTAAAACAATAAGCCCAAAAAATAAACATAGAAACCTTATAAACAAAAAATCCATATGATAATAACCCAAATCAAAAAAATCAAAAATACATGATAGTTACATAGTTTGAACCCACAATCTTGAATGATTAATTAGATATCTTTTACCACTTAGCTAAAGTGTATTTCATTGTTCATATTCATCTTACTAAGATTATGTATTTTTAAAAAAATACGTACGGGATCCAAAAAATGCTGACGTGGCGCGCTGTAGAGTGCCGCTGTAGAGTTTAGATAGTTTACTATTATAATATAGATTTTTGAAACTTCTTAATACAAACCGGAGTTTGATCAACACGTCCATGTGAATAGTTAAACTAGAGTTTAACTCTTTTCCTATGTTTTACTGAGGTGGGAGGTGAATCTGATCAAGCATTTTTTGCATCAAATAAAACACCAACAAGACAAGATGCAGAACACAAAACATGGTTCAGATTCATGTTCAGCAGTTAAAGCAATTTCAAGGAGATGATGATGACTAAAAATAAGTACAGTACCAGAGAGATATTAATTGACAAAACACGAAGTGGAGGAAGCAATGATTTAGTCGTCTGTGTAGTTGACTGCGAGATCCCAGTAATGAGGGACACCAGCATCCGCGAAAACTTTCTTAGCAGCTGATTCCGTCAAGCACTCTTGCACGTGAAACCTGTAAAAACTCGGTTTCGCAACGCTTCCTTGCCAAACCAACCAGCACTTGTTGTTCTCTCCACCATTCTCCTCGTCGTCTTCATCTTCTTCCTCTCCTTCCTTCTCATCCTTCTTCACCGCCTCTTCCCAGTTTATTCGCTTCAACATAACCTTCCCATATCTCTTTATCACTTTACTATTACCCTCCACCACGATCACACTCACTTCATCTGTCATCACGCTACACCCTGTCAATCTGTTCTGTCTTGCATTCATCTCCACCTTGAATCGAGTTTTAGGATGCGAGAGCTTGTTCACCTTGTACACCGACACTATCGTCTCCAGCGTTGTTGTTGGATCGTCAAAGAGCTTCCTCTCTTTCTTCTCACGTTTCTCTGCAGGTGTAAGCTTCCTTGCAGCGTTCCTGTCCACGTGAGCCTGCTCACGTTCCGCAGCTGCTGTGCGGATCTCCTTTTCGAGCTTGGTTGGGTCTTGTGTTGCTTCAGAACCAAGAACTTTCATCAGGTTGCTCATTTTCACCTTTGCTTTCGGTGGTTCAAGTAAACCTTGTCTGATCATCTCCTGTTTCTCCTTTTCTTTGGCTAGACGCCGCTGGGTTCGCAGCTTCTTCTGTTCCCTTTTTGTCAGTTTAAGAGGCTGAGGTGGTGGAGGTGCTGCCTCTGCTGGTGGCTCTATGGGACGGGGATGCTCAATGTAATGTGTGAGTTTTTCTATCTTCAGATCGTTATAGGTAATGGTACCATCAGCTATGTCGCCATATATGCCACTGGTGAGGACACTTGCATCCCTGAAAGAGAAAATAAAAATATGAGCTAAGACAACCCATCATGAACATATATAGAAAAGTGAGACCAAAACAGCACAAGGCCTCTCAGATTAACTATAATCTACTGTTATGGGATTCATCACGTTCAGTTTAAAGTTATGCCATGTAAAGTCATCAGATGAATATAGCATTAACAATAAAAAAAAAAAAAAAGCAAAGTGAGAAAAATTACGTACCACCACTCAACATCTAGGATTACTTCCTTGGGTTTCTCTTTTCTTGGGGCACGTTCAGATACCTCTATAAAATTTGGATTGATATCATCCTTGGCCTTAGCCAGATGGGCTTGCTTCACCTTCAGTTCTCTTGCTTTTGCTTCACCAAATTGACTCTAAAGATAAAAAAAATACACACACTGAGACCTCTGTAAAAGCCAGCAATAATGAAATGGTTAAAAAGAATCCATCAAAGAAAGAATAATGCATACCTTTAACTTCAGACTCTCAGCATCCCTAGTCCATTTGCCTTCCTCAACAAACTCAAAACTCATACGTTTAGGTCTCAAAATCTTGTTTTTATCAATACCCATCCTTGGATCAAAATGGGGGTTTTCTTCTGGATTCACTTCCAATTGCGGTTTAAGAATCTGAAAAGCATCTTTCTTCTGTTTGTTGATGTTAACCTGTAAACATCAAAGTAATGTATTAGAAGCCTCAATCACAAAAATAAAATAAAAACATAGAAAGCTTAGACATTTTAAATTAACTTCACTGACCTTTAAAGTACTAAGACTGCTTGGTTTAGTCACGCTAATCACATTCCCATGTTCATCAATCTCCCTTCCAAGTGCATCCACACGCAGAACAGGAGGCTTGGCAGGTTTCTGTGGAACAGCTAATGTCTCTGTGAGTGCCTGTCCTGAGATAATATTGGCAGCGGAATCCTGTCGGAAGCTCATATTCGCTGCCAACTCCTGAGCTTTTCTAACAGCTTCATTGGAAGAGACAGCAGAAGTGGTAGTCTGTTTCATCTGCGCAAAGAAGAAGAGTTTAATCAGTTTATCAAACTACAAAGTTCCAAGAGAAAAGAATGAACGCAAAAAAAAACTCAAAACTTACCGAATCAAGTTTCTTAAATTTTTCCTCCAATCCCTTTCTAAGCTCTAAGGTTCTCTTAGCTTTCGCTAATGCATCAGCTGTTGAGGATGAACTTCCATCTGTACTAGATTTTCCATGAACCTCATGAGACCTGACAATACTAACTCCCTTATTTTCATCCTTTGTAGATATTGAAGATACCTTAGTGAGCAGTGTTTGACTCGAGGCCAGTGAAGTTTCCAATACACTAGAACTACATGACGTGGCGCCCTCCTGCACATAATACAAGAAATTACAAACAGAATTTAAATAAATATCAAATAAAAGGCAAAGAAACTCACATTCTCGACGCCACTAGCTACATTCATGGCCCTATAACGCTCATCTACTTGATTATTCTTGTTCTCATGTTCCATAGCAACATCATCAGAAAACCTAGATTTCTTCTTCTTCTCTTCCCTATTCACATTCTCTTCCTCTCTATCTTTCCTCTTGCTCCTAGATTCCCTATCCTTAGACTTATCTCTATCTCTATCTTTAGTCCTATATCTCTCATCCTCCCTATCTTCGTGCCTCGATGAAGACCGGTGGTGATCTGAATCGTGACGCTTCGAGTCGCCATCGCGATCACGGATTTGATGACGACGACGACTGCCTTCACGTTCCGGCGAACGATCCACACTCGAATCACGATCGTTCCTGTGGCTCCTGGAGTATCTCTCGTTTTCCATGGCGATTTTAGGTTTTCTTCTTGCGCTCGCAAGAATTTGTTTCAGCTTATAAAACAAAAACCTGTAACCCCCGTAAACGCGGGTAAAATACACCGGCAGAATCTATCACCGACTACTTTCATTATGGGCCTAAGCCCGTTTGTTGATTAATTTTCTTTTAAATTATTTATTTATGGGCCTTATTAGTTTCCTTTTTCAAAATTATTTGCTTATGGGCCTTAAATGTGGCTTCTAACGTCATTTCTTTACGAGCAGTGTTTCTGAACCGGACAGACCCGGTAGTTGAACAGAGTTCGACCATAAAAAATAATTTATATTTATAGCAGTTTATATTTGATATATATTTATATCATTATTGCTATTTTTACCTTTCAATTTCTATATTTAAAAAATATTGAAGCAAATTTGATTCGGTCGAACCATATTGGAATATTTTTATACTCGACATAATGCATCTTTAATATATAGTATGGTACTTTTTTCTTTATCGACGTCACTTTGTTTTTCACATTTAATGGATTGGATATGTTAAAAATATCTCACGGGTTATGCGACATGTGCTTTTATTTAGCACACATAACTCTTGCCAACAACCCGGCCCTTCACAATTTTTAGATTTTTATTAACGATCGGATCATATACTATGTGATGTAGTTGGTAGTTACGTTGAAGACTGAAATTTTTGTAAAGAGAAAAAAAGAAGAAAAATGATTCAATACGTTACTCTATATTGGTAGTGCTTGCTATTTAGGGAAAGAGCTAATTCTATAATCACGTGCTTTACTCCAACTTTCTCCTTATAGATTACAAAAAAAAAGATATTTAACACAAAAAGGTAAAAAGTAGATTAAGATATTTTCTGAAAGATAGGATTCTTCTATGTCAACCACCAACGTAAGCCTCGCCGTCATAATTGGCGATACACTTACCAAACCGTTAGATCTAAACATCACTCGATCTTAATAGTAAATTCCATACACCGCAACACAGAGGAGTACACCCCCAAACCTTACAGTATTTAATTAGTACAATAATTAGTTGAGACAAGTACAGCTTGTCTTGTCTTATTGACTCCAAAGATTTTGCAGAAAAGAAAAAAAATCCCTTCGAAAATGGAAAACGTGTAAAACCGAATTTGATTTTTCACTTCCGAAAAGTCGTTTCTCGAAGGAAACCATGAACAGTAGCGAGAGAGTTCCGTGCGACTTCTGCAACGACCGAACAGCGGTTCTGTTCTGCAGAGCCGACACAGCGAAGCTCTGTTTACTCTGCGACCACCACGTGCACACGGCGAATCTCCTCTCCAAGAAGCACGTACGATCTCAGATCTGCGATAACTGCGGCAACGCGCCGGTCTCGGTTCGTTGCTTCACCGACAGTCTTGTCTTGTGTCAGGACTGCGACTGGGATGTTCACGGAAGCTGCTCCTCCGTCTCCGACGCTCATGTACGCTCCGTTGTTGAAGGGTTTGCAGGTTGTCCGTCGGCGTTGGAGCTTGCGGCGTTGTGGGGGATTGATCTGGGAGAGAAGAAGGAAGAGAAGCAAGGGCCTATGATGATGGAGAGTTTTGGGATGGAGTTGGATTCGTGGATCTCTGGATCTAACGTTTTGCAGGAGCTGGTGGTTCCTGTTCCCAAGAAGGGGGGATCTAGTACTAGTAGCTGTGGGAGGTATAAGAAGGTTTTGTGTAGACAGCTTGAGGAGTTGCTCAAGAGTGGTGGTGGAGTTGATGATGGTGGTGGTGAGGATGAAGTAGGAGAAGAGACTATGGTTCCGGAGATGCAAGGGGGATTGGGATGGAGGAGAGATGAAGATGAGATTAGTGGTGGCGCTGAAGTTATCCAGCAGCCTTCAACGACGTCGTTTACGTCTTTGCTGTGGAATGGTGCTAATGCTAGTGATGGTCAGAGACAGAGTACTCAGGTTTGTGAAGTTTTTGTCTCTTTTGATTCTCTTGGCATAATTAGAACAGTTTATGTGTCACTCTATGTGGCTTTTCCATAAGGTGCAATGATTATTAACCTGTGTCACCTGTGAACTTGTAGATTTGGGATTTTAATTTGGGACAATCAAGAGAACCCGAGGACAGTAGCAGAAGGGAAGCAGCATATGTTGCAAAAGATGCTGCTTCATTCAAACTCAACAGCTTTGTTGAAGTCAAGAAGAATGATACTTGTTCCACTAAAGCCAAAGGTGTCAAAGACATTTGCCAGGTAAAATATTTGTCATTTAAGTATTTTCCAAGTGTTGATCCATTACAGTCTGACCTTTGGTGAACCCTTTGTGCTATCATTTGTTCTCAGAAACTATAACCAACATTTTAAAATCTAGTTAATAATAAGATACAAGTTGGCTTGCTTTTCTTTGTTTTACCTCAGACTATTAACCAATGCGATCATTTTTTCTTTGTGATATTTCGCTGTGTTAGCCAAGTTAAATGTAACCTATACACATATTGTGAATGTGTGATGCTGATTAGGATTCTTTTGCAGGATGATTACAACCAATCTACTTCGGGCCAGGTACCAGTAACATCTCACAGCAACAATCTTCCTATTACCTTTGGCTCCGAGAAAGGTTCAAACTCCTCCAACGAGTTACATTTCACTGAAAACATTGCTGGAACTAGTTGTAAGACCACAAGAGTAGTAGCAACCAAGGCTGATCTTGAGCGACTGGCTCAGAACAGAGACAATGCAATGCAGCGTTACAAAGAAAAGAGAAAAAATCGAAGGTAAAAGCCTGCTTTTTTCGCTTTATATATTTTTTTCTATAGATCATATCCCACCCGTGAGTCTAATGCCGTATTGTATTTCCACCAGATATGATAAGACTATAAGGTATGAATCTAGGAAAGCTAGAGCTGATACAAGGTTGCGTGTCAAAGGCAGATTTGTGAAAGCTAGCGAAGCTCCTTATCCTTAAAAGGAGGTCTCTCTTCACTTAGGTTTTTTTCTATTAGCTTTAGAAACTTGTTTTCTACTTCCACCGCCTCGTAAATGTATATATAAAGATCGGTCTCGTTTCTTTTGCGTTTGTCTTATATTGTCTCCTTTATGTTACCTTGGAAACTTCTCTACTTGAAAAAAGGAGTGTTTCTTAAACTTCTAGAAGATATAATCTGTGTACTGTTTCCTGATCAAATCCTAATGATTTGTGAATTCTCACAAGCTAATGAATTCTTACAGCACTCTTGTCTTGTAGCATCTCGTGTGTTGTTAATAACAATGGCATTCGTGTTCTGAGTATTGAATCCTCAAACATACGCTGAAAAATCACTGATGAGTCTTTTGTTTGGCAAACAAATTTGATTTGATAAGAGTCTGATCACTTTTGATGACATGCTAACACATCAAGGAACGTAGGCTCCTCCATAGACATCTTACTGTACTATGTTCCTATGAATGCTTTTGCATAAAGGTATTGATTATTTATTATCTAATCGATCTTTTAATGAGTTTTCAAGAAGGAAGAATTGGCTGAATAATATTGCAACATACGACATGACACGTTCGAAGACAGGCAATGAACACTCACGTCTTCAATTGAACAATATTGCAACATATGATTGATCATCTTTTTATTTATTTCTTCTGAATGTGTAATAATGTATGATTATGAAGAAACTGAAGTAGGGCAAAGGAAACAATGAGGTTGTGAATGTACAGAGTTTTGCTCTTGGGACTGAAAATGTGATAACAATTTAGTATACCCCCACGTTGATGAAGCTCCAACCTTGGGAAAGAAACTTAGTATTGGCTGTCCATGAAACTAACTAGAAGCTCATTCACCATCCCACGGTCAGGCATCTTCCCAGCTGCTCCATATATTGGAGCCAAGCCACCTGTGATCGGTCCTGGGTTTGCTTTCACCTGACCACAACATAGTAACAACAAGAGATCAATTAATTGAAGAAAAGAAACTAGCAATCAAGTCAAAGACTATTTCATCAGTGGACTTACAGTTTCTACAGCTTCACGCAGATCCTGGAGAAAGTCATCGACTACAGGGACGTGTTGAAGAGTTACACATATATGAATGCTGATCCAAAACACATACATGAATACTTTCAGAACAGTGAAAGAGAAGATGTTTTGGTCTTAAACTATAGCTGAAACACACACATGTTCAGGGCTTCTTGAAGATTTACCTGTTGGGTCTCTGTAGTGCATTCAAATGCCAACCTTTGGAAGACATGATGTCATTAACTTCAAAGATATCTAATGATTTAGAACCAAACGCTACGATTGTCATATCTGGCTTTCCAACGACAAACAGTTCACTGATTCCTCTTACTCTGCATATTATGATTAGAATTGATGGTAGTCAAAAGCTAGTTTGAAGAAGAGATATAAAAGGTTTAAAAAGTAATAATACTACAAACCCTTCCTCTAGTCTCTTCGATGCTTCCATTATCTTGCTTGTGTTTTCTAGATAGCCTGTGAAACAACAGAATCAATTATGTAAAGCTTTGACTCAGGCTAAGAACTAGAAGCTTGAGAGAGAGAGAAATATTGAAACCTTCTTCTCCGAGAGACATCATTGCAGCCCAAGCACCAGCAACCAAAGAACCAGGTCTACTCCCAGCTATAGTTGGAGACACGTATAGACCTCCTGACCATTCAGTTACTGCAAAACGTAGTTGCAAACAGTTTTAGAGCAATATGGAAGATAGGATTTAGATGAGTTCAACAGTTCTCTTACTTACCAGCAACAAATTGGTGCTGTTTTGTAGAAGCAGGAGCAATGCCAGAATCAGAAAACATGAGTTTAGTAAAAGTAATTCATACGTGCTTGGTAATGAGCCTGGAGAAATTGCATAAGAGTGGGAAAATAGAAAGTAACTTTTACCTTTCTGATCTCATGGTTTCTGTAGAGAACTGTACTAGTTCCTTTAGGAGCCAAACCATATTTATGCACGTCCACCGAGATTGAAGTGACTCCTTGTACAGAAAAATCAAAAGCTGGGATCTGGTACCTAACAACAGTGAGAGAAAAACAAAAATCAACTTATCATTTCTCCAAGTTATGATGAACATAGCTTCTTCTCAAGTCCAAAACCTATATAATATATACACTATCTGCATCTCTTTTTGTAGGAAAGAAACTGATGCACATACCCAAGTTTACGAGCGAAAGGTAATACAAAACCACCAAGGCAAAGGTCAACATGAAAACATATTCCATAGCTAAGAGCCAGTTGACCAAGTTCCTGTTATACAAAAAAAAGGATGTCCTACTCATTAATTCTATATAAAAGAACATAAATGTCCTTACAAAATTACAGTAGACAGAGAAACCAGTTTTACCTCAATAGGATCAATGATGCCATGAGGGAACCCTGGTGCTGATCCAACAATCTGAAACAATGTGATTTAAAAGATCATGAAATAGACAACACACACGTCTTAAATTTAAAGCTGCACCAACATAACAAAACATTATTACCATGATGGTGTTTCTGTTAATATGCCTCTTCATTGCCTTCACATCAGCTCGGAAGTCTTTGCCTACTGGAACTCGCCACAACTTGATGTTAAAATACTGAGCCGCCTTATCATAAGCCGAGTGACCCGACTCAGGTATAATCCTACAGTTACATATGAAGCATTGTTCCATAAACTAAGTCCTACATAATTGATAAATGTCAGATGAGAAAGGAAACATTACATTTCTGGCCGTTTGATTCCCTTCTTGTACTTCATATAGTCTCGAGATGACTTCACAGCCAACACTATACTCTCTGTTCCTCCAGACGTCATGTTTCCGCAGATTTGCTCACCTGAAACCGTTTCTTTGCTTCCTAGTAAAGCAGCAGTCATTGCAACTACTTCTGACTCAAACCGCACCACACTCTGGAATACGTCTATATGCAACGGATTGGTATGCGCAAACCTGGAAAGCCATCATCCATACATGACATACACATAGCAACTTGAATTACTTATACATCAACAAAGAAATCGCCATTTTCAGGGCCAAGAATAACATAAAAGATAGGAGTTAAATCCTGCTATAACTTACATTGAACATGCTTCATTTATCAATGTAAAATGTCCCTCAGACTCGCTTCCACCTATGTATCTGTTAGAAAAAGGTGGTAGAAGTTTAACGAATCTCCACCAAAACCACAAGGAAAAAAGCATCAAGTACCAGAGACGTACACAGTGCCAGAGCATTTTCCTTGCCAAGTAGGATCATTCCTCTTCTCAGTCTCCATTTTCTCTAGAACTTGGACTCCTAGACCTTTTACTGGCAGTTCTTTAGCCCAATTATCTTTCTTAGAGCTGCCACCAGATTGTAACTGATCAACAACCTGTGAATTAGAAGAAAAACAAACATCAATTAGTTAGTTTCAATGCTAATTTCCCATACAAAAAAAAGGAGACACAGACATATGTAACATGGTTTCAGTCTTGATCTAAGTAATTTACTATTCTTCTAACAATCTCAAATCCCAAGTAATTCTCAATTTTTTAAATCTTAAACTCCAGCAAACTCATGTCTCAGTAATGCAAAATAGCCATTGGTCTAATACATTCTGCTGCTTCTCTGCCAACAATATCTATATCTTTATCACTAGCTCGGAAATGAAAGCATTAAATGGTCTGGGCAATTTTTAAATTGGTTATTACACTAACAATCTGCAGATTCAAACACAACCCACCTTTTGTTTCTCTGCATCTATGTAGCTTTGGACTCCAGGAATCTTTCTGTTTCATTTTCCACAAAAAACATTACTCACCCATCAGAAAAAAAAAAGAAGAAGATGGGATTTGAAGATTCTTACTTGAAGAATCCCATGATAAACCCCACAAGACATGCTTTCAGGCCTTTCTCGTGGACAACGCCCAACACAGATCCAATCACCTGAGCTAGAAAAAGAGTGACAAGCGGGGCAAAAAGAAGAACCAGAGGCTCAAACTCAGACAAACGCGAGTTTAGCGAGCCTCGAGCTTGGATCAACATGGATTTCATCGAAGAAAATGATAAAGAATCCATTTTTGCTCTTTTGTTTGATATGTTGAGAAAAGTGAAATCTTTTTAGGACATAGAAAGAAAGTGATTGGGTAACGTTTATCAAAGAAAGACCTTGTTGAAGTCATCGCGTGCAAGCTTTTCACATTATATTATGAGATTGCGACAAAGACTTTTCCTTTCTTTTGGAGCTTTGTGTTTGGTTTGCGTGTGCTATCACAAGAGTTAACTTCACATTAGTATGCCCAGACACACTTCATCAATCTATTCGCCTTTTAGTCAAATGTTGCAACTCAAAAAAGATGAGAAACATATGGTTTGTAAAAAACAGTAACTCTTGCTAGCCGCCAATAACTAGTACAGATTTGGAATTGACCTATATACACTATTTCATAAACCAAGCTTGGAGCTTTGTTTTGTTTTCCTTAAAATAATAAACCTGAAGATGTGGACGAGCAATATTCTACCAGACAACAGTTCTCTTCACAGCAAAATCACATAAAACAATTAAGGATAAACGACAATCATATTCCCAGAGGGGCCATAAATGAGACGAGAAACCATTTCAAATTGTCTTAATCAAGTCTTACATTACATTTGTAAATGAACAAAAGCATTCAAACCAAATACAAGAGAGAGTAGTTTTCCTCTCTTGTCAAGATAAATCATATAGGAAACAAAGAAAAGGAACAAGAGGGATAATGATAAAAGGATTGATCCAATAGAATAGGATGTGTATGCTTAACAATCTGCTGGTTCCTTTCAGGCATAGTTCAACCTGAAGATATCGTTGGACACGTAAAAGCTTCCTTGCGGCGTCGGCATCAAATGAAACATCTGCATCACAAACAAATGAGAATAGTGTTAGAACAAGATCCAAGGACACCAAAACTAACAAGAACATGCCAAAAGCAGGTCTCTTTACATATTGGTTTGATAAAAAAAAAAAAGTCTTAAACTAAAGAAACAAAGCACAAATCTTCACAGATGGGTTTGATAAATAAAGACATAAACTAAAGAAACTTCACAATGTCTGAAACAAGAACATGGTAAAGCAGGTATCTTTACATATGGGTTTGATAGATAAAGTCTTAAACTAAAGAAACAGACAACGTCTGAAAAAAACATGTCAAAGCACAAATCTTTACAGATGGGTTTGATAAATAAAGACATAAACTAAAGAAACATGACAATGTCTGAAACAATAACAAGTCAAAGCAGACACCTTTACAGATCTATTACCCTACCGATCTAATTACACAATCAACCCCTAACTAAAATCAATCAGAGAGGGACAGAGAGATCCTACCTGACTGAACTTGAGGGCGTGCTCTTCGCCGGCGAGCTGGAGATTCCCGGAGACGAAGACGACCATACCGCCGGCGGGACCAGAAGGCTGGCAATCGACGGTGGTGATGTTGTGTTTGCACTGCTGGAAAGGGAGAGAGGTGAGCTTGGCGACGATGTTCTGAGAGCCCTGGATCTTCTGACCTTCGAAGGTTAACATGGATCCTTCCTGGTAGAGAGAAACAAGACTTGCACGATTTGCATCGAAGGTGGAGTAGTAGTGCTCCACGAAGGCCTTGGCTACTGCATCGGGATCCATCTGCGCCATTATAGAGAGAGAATATGAAAGAGAGAGAGAGAGAGAGAGAGAGAGAGAGAGAGAGAGAGATTTGGGGAGACGGAAAGGGTTTTGTGTTTGTATTTATTTGTCAAACTCTGCGTCGCAACGACGCTGGTTAAATCTCATTTTTCTGTTTTTCTTTTCTATAACACTTAATTTTATTAAGTTTATTAATTTTGACGACTATGTTCATTCAGCTCTTTTTTTTTCTGTTTTGTTTTGTTGTCGACGCTTATACATTTTAGGAATATCAATATAGGGTAATTTTTCCAAAGTACCCAAAAAATGGAATTTTTATTGTTGACTAAAGAACACATAATAAAGAATACGATCATAAAAATCCAATAATTAAGTAGAAGAATCTATCCTTCTTTATAAATATAAATAAATATTAAAATGAAGAATAAAAAATCAAAAATAAATTAGTTAGTTTTTGTTTCCGAAAGAGACTTTTTCAAATTTAAAACTTATTTCGTTTTTTTTTGTTTAATTTTTGTTTTGAGATTTTTTGAAATTATATTAAAATAATTATTTTAAATTTCATTTTTGTAGTCTACACCCAATAGCTAGTACCCCTCATTTTAATATTTGAAAAAAACGAAATAAGTTTTAAATTTGAAAAAGTCTCTTTCGGAAACAAAAACTAACTAATTTATTTTTGTTTTTTGGTTTGAAATAAAATATTTTGGTTATTTAATTCTTGTGTGTGGTATGTATGATAAAAAAATAGTGATATCATAAAGTATCTCTCAAACTTAAACTCAACTTCTTTAAAAAAAAATAATGAGAGAGATTGTTAGAAATAGTTTAATTGCATCAACTTATGTTTTCATATAATCAAAACCTTCTTCTTTCTTTTTTCTCGATAATTCTATTGTTTGATCGAGTTGATTTTGAGAAAAAAAAACATAAATAGTGATACATTGTGGATTGGCTATCAGCTAATGTGAGGGATATATATAGATATGAATGTTTGGTGTTTTAGGTTGGGTTTAAGTTGGTTTTTCTCGAGTATGGATACTTCAGATTTTAGATATTTGGACTTAATATATATTCGTAAATTTTAGGTTTAGAGTCAGATCGGTTCTTTTCGAATTCATACTTCAGAATTTAAATATTTGGATCTTATAAATATTTGTAAATTTTCATTTCGGATTCAAATCGGTAAAATATCCATGTCTAGGTGGACTTATCTGAGTCTGAAGAGATTTGGTCCCTCCACACTCACTTTTTAGTGCGAGGGTACGCAAAGGTTCAGATGCAAGCATCAACATGTTCCATCCCAACCTCTTTAGAGCATCATTAACCCTTAGAGACAAATTTGGACTCTTAATGATTTTTTAAGAATTAATAATTGTTAAGAGTTTATACTTAAGAGACACCTAATTTTTTTAGCTTCAATGGGAAGTTCTTATTTTAAGGTTCTTAAATTTTTTACTATCATCAAAGTCTCAAACAAACAAAATAGATGCACTAATTTAAACAATATTGATACAAGAGTTCAAATCTCTCTATGTGAATGATGGTCTTGTACTTCTTCACAAATGGAGAACGTGCTTCTTCTGAGATCAGTCTAACGACACTGCCATCAGTCTAATGATACAACCAAGCAAAAAGAAAATTACAGATACAAATTTGATGAGACAAACAAATATTCTGAGATCTTGAGACAAATGTCTGTAATGCTAATAGACAGTAGAAGTGAAGAACCTACTTGTTCAGAGAGATACAGATGTTGGCAGTTCTTGTAGGTTGCTTGGTCAAGCTGTAGACCCCATCTGTGAAAAGCACAAACAACAAATTTACCAAAGGAAACCATCTGGGTAAGAAGACGATATTTTTCCTCATAATTGAAAACTTTGTTCACCTTTTATCAAACTTTGAAGAGACTTCAGTCCTCCTCCTTTCTTCTTTTTCGCGGTTTTCTTATTCCTGTCATCTTTTCCAATGCCTCATCATCCTCATCACTATGACCATTGCAATGACGCGAAGAACCAAGGTTCCTGGAGCTGATCCTTGATTTCAATTAAACAGCAGCTCCACCCGCAGCTACAATCTCAGCCGCAAGCAAAATAGTATGAGAGCTCATCCCCAAGAACATCACAAGAATAAGCAAAGCAGTAATTCTTTTTATCTAAGTACAAATTCAGAGTAAAGCAATTGTTACCGTCTTGAAGCTACAAGACCACGTCCACGCTCAGTTAACTGCAAAAGCTGGAGAGAAGGCATGGCTGGAATTGAATTATCCAAAACCAAAATTAGGTGCTTCTTCTTGATAAATTAGAGCATCGAAACAAGAACAAGGTTATCAAAATTAGAGCATCGAAACTATAACAGAGAGTATAAAGCAAAGTAACCACAAGATAATAACTGAGTCTACTTCTCGTCCACACTCTGCTCTTCCTGCTTCGTCTTCTTCCCGCTGCTGCTCTCTTTCATCGACAGAGTCTGAGATTCATCCTTGATTTTAGGTTTTCGGCCTCTCTTCTTCGGTGCCGGTGTTACTGATCCTCCGCTTTCGACGAAATCGCCTTTCTCCGATGAGAGATACCGACAGAGACGTCACCGTTGAGCGCCACCGGTGGAGAAAAAATTGCCTTTCGTCGATTGAGAGAGAGAGAGATGATCGAGATAGAGAGAGAGAGTTGATCGAGAGAAGATGGTGAGGTCGTTTGAACGCTTGACACGTGCCACGAAGAGGCGCCTCTTCTGGCTCTCCCGCAAGAGGCGAATTCTGGGTCGCTTTTTTCTTTTAATGTTTTTAATTGGGTTTAGGGGGTAAGAGTTGGGCTAAGAGTCACCGTTAATGGTGCTCTTAGAAAATAGTATTAAAATCAAAGTCATGTGTACACATCAAATTCTCCTACATTAAACTCGTATCCGTTATACACTACTACTCCAGTACTATTGTCACCCAATCAGATCAAAGAGTGTCATTCCAATTAATGATCCGATTAAAAATAAAATTTATATGAATTCTTATTATTTCAGGATATTTATTCAATGCACCCAAACACTCCAAAAACTCGAATCGTCAAAATTAAACTATTCTTCTTCTCTCTTTTGACAACAACTTCAATTTTAGTCTTCTCTCACTTTCTCTTGACATCGTTTCTCCTTCGATTGGCAGTTTCCGTACTGTGGGTTTCTCCATGGCCGCTTCTAACCGAAGCACCAACTCTTCTCCTTCCACTGGTAAACCCAACCCTCTTGGATGATTCATTTTCGATAAAGTTTTAAACTTTATATGTTATTCTCGTGGTAGACGAAATGGGTTTTCTGTTTTCGTCATTTTAACAAAGAGGTTTTGCCATTTCGTTGATCAATTTTTGCCCTTTTGTGAAAAAAACACTGTTGGTTTGAAAATAGTAAAGCTTTGCCCTTTCGGCATGTGCTTGCTTGCACTCTTTTCCTGTATTATCTATTTACTTAGTGGTGTTTGTGTTGTGTCTATATGTTTTTTTTTTTGTAGGTTCAGTTAAGACATTTAATATGGTGGATAGGTTATCAACTGACAAGAGTGTTCTCCAACATCAGGTAAAATTTGATTTAATAATGGCATTGCTGTTGATGTAAGCTAGTTTCAGTATGATGCTTGTGTCTAGATTATGCAGGATAAAAATAGCAGCTTTCTTCGCCCTTTGTGTGGTGGTAGCACTGGTAATGCTGCTTTTTCTGCAAGTTCTAACACAGACTCGTTTCACATTGGAGGTTAGGTCTCTTTTATCAGGTCTCTAACATTTGTTTTAACTCTAGTTTAGTGTTTACTAACTAATCTTTTCCTTATTATTGTGAAAACTACAGTATTATTGTTTTAGTAGACCTTATTGTTTCACCACATAACTGCTTATTCTCCCTTACACTAAAGTTCACCTACTTATGCAAGCTATTCCATATTGTTGGTATCTCTGTTTTGTTTTATACAATGAAACACTGCCACATGCCATGAACTAAACTTCACCTTTCCTTAATTTCTGCTTTGCCTTGTGATCAAAATTGTGGACTTTTAGTGATTCTTAGCTGTTATTTTGTGCTTAGATTTTGAGATTTTCTTGTTGCTCCATTAATGTCTTGCGTTTCTCTCAGGCTATGAAAATGCAGCTGATACTCCAAGGTCGTACCATCCACATACAGATTTTCTAAGCTTTGAAGAAGTCTATCCTGTGCGTATATCAGCTAACATACCCCTTTTACTCAACTAGCTTTTTTATTTATAATGTTCTTGATGTGTTCATTTGTTTTTCTTTCTTATTGAATTGATAATAGGGCATGAGATGTGATGACATGTTATACCATGGTAACGGTATACCATCAGATACTCAGAGGCCATCGAATTCTACCAGCAATCTGTCTTTGCCACAGTATTATGGTGACCTCTATGCTGATGATGCAAGCTATTTCGCTCCTTTTCACTCATCAAATCAACAGTATCCAGTCCCAGAGCCTATTCATCTTTCTCCAGAGTTTCACATGTTTCAGACGAACTCTTCACATCTTGATAGGCTTGCGAATAAAAGAAACAGTATTGAGACTGATTATATGATGCACTCTACCGGAAATTTTAGCTTAAGTAATAATATATTTGGCGAACCTAGGGGTCATAAACTCAACCCCTTCACTGGAAGAAAAACGCTTCTTCCAATGCCATCTACCATAAGAAGTATGAAGCATCCTGGCTCCGCGGACCTATCTGCAAATGATTTTGATATGGTTAGTTTCTGTAATCACTACCTATACAACTCACTGGATTTTCCTTACATTCAGTTGCACAGCTCTAGTAGTTCAGCTTCTTGAAACCTTTTTGTTGTTCACATACGTCTGGCTCTTGCCTATGTCAGGCCTCTTATTATTGGACAAAGCTTAACTCTATGTAGATCTAATTCACGATTTTACACAGGGTCGACCACATCGAGCTTTGCATGATGATTTTGAATCTGCTGCAAGCTTAAGTTACAGAGAGCAAGCTTACAACCAAAGCAAAAGAGGCTCTTTCTCTGCTGCTTCTTATTCTCCTAGACCAACTTGGGAACTTGATTATAACATTCCACCACTTGATGAAGCAAGAAATGCAAGCTGCAGCGACTTCTACCATCGCCCTGCCTTGTCTGATTTGCTTAACGAGAGAAACAGAGGGCCTAGGGCGTTAAGGCCAAACGGTAAAAGTAAAATGACCAGTTATGATCACTCTGATCAACAAGCTCTGCTCTCCCAGTTCAGGGACGCAAAGTTCTTCGTTATTAAGTCGTATAGCGAGGATAATGTCTATAAGAGCATCAAGTATTGTGTTTGGGCTAGCACTAAAAACGGAAACAAAAAGTTGGATGCTGCCTATCGTGAAGCAAAAACTAAAGAAGTGGCATGCTCAGTCTTTCTTTTGTTCTCGGTAAAATTGCATTTGTCTTACAGCAAGCCATCTCAGGCTTTAGTTGTGTATCTCCAATTCATTCCACTGAGGTTTGATCGTGAACTTTAAACAGAAGGACTAAAAAAGATATTTAATTTTCAGGTGAATGCTAGTGCACAGTTTTGTGGAGTGGCTGAGATGGTTGGTCCGGTTGATTTCGACACAAGTGTGGAGTACTGGCAACAAGATAGATGGTCAGGACACTTCCCGGTCAAATGGCTGATTGTTAAAGATGTTCCCAACAGTCTCTTTCGTCACATCATAATTAAAGACAATGACAATAAGCCTGTCACTAACAGTAGAGACACCCAAGAGGTAAAACTAGACTCTTCTTGTCCTCGAGGCTCCATTTCATGCATATAGATTTAAGCATTGTGAGTTGTATTTGATGTCACTGCCTGACCAAGAGAGACAGAGAGCTATTAAACAATTATCATGTATGATTGTGTTTTTGTCTATCTGCAGGTGGGACTGGAACAAGGAATTGAGATGTTAAATATATTCAATAGCTGTGAGATGAAATCTTCGATGCTCGATGACTTTAGCTTCTACGAAGAGAGACAGAGAGCTACACAAGACAGAAAAGCCAGAGAACGTGCTGTTCTTGAAAATCTTAGAGTCTCCTCTCTAACCTCTGTTCCAACATATCACACAAGTTCTCTCCATGAAGACTATGTAAGGGAAATGTCCAAGAGCTTTGCAGAGGCTTTGGCCTTGCAACACAAACTCAATTAAGTTAAAAAGTCCTCTCTTCTCTTTTGGGATTTACATTGGAAGAGGATTGAAATTGTGGTTTTAAAAGCTTGATTATGTACTACTGACCACATACTTAAAAGGAGCTTAGGTTGTAAGATAAACTCAAGGTTCCAAAATTCAAGGATGAGTTATATGCTGAAAGTTAGGTTTGCCTTTTTGGTTATTTCGGTTCAGGCGTTTTTGGTTTCGTTTTTGGGTTTGGCCACAATCCCACCAAAGTGACTCGATTCGGTTTTCTCGGTTAATCTTGGTTTTTTATTTTATTTTTGAAATATTTCTTTTTTGGTTTGGGTGAAAAATCGGTGTAGTTCGGTTGAATTTGGTTTGGTTACTGTCGGTTATTTTTGGTTAGTTGAAAAAAGTCTTTTGGGATTAAGTTAAAAACAAACTCTCGTCTCTTTTGGGATTAAATTGTGGTTTAAAACTCTTAATTTCTGTACTAGTAACCACATACTTAAGAAGCTAAGGTGGTAAGATAAACTTTAATTATTTGCGGCAAGAGATCAGATTAAGTAGTTCACTCATTATATAACAAATGGTCCAGACCAAGAAACACACATGACAAGATAGTCTTGAAATTTTGAGACGAGCTCTACATAATAAAGGAGGAAACCCTAATGTCACGTGCCTACCATCTAGGCCAAACCCATCCTAGGCAAGGTCGAGAAGAAGGAGACGGTCATTAAAGCGACGGCTAGAGCCATGACGGCGTGACCATCTTTTATGGAAGATGATCCTCCTTTCTCAGTAGACGTCGCTGGAGTTGCTGGAGACGTTCCTCCGGGTGCCGCCGGTGTTGTTGTAGAAGTGGCATTGCTTGTGAATATGGCTGCGTCTGGTGAGCTTGGCGAAATCCCGAGAAGTTCTGTTCATTCATGCACGTTTTAACATGTAGCATCGTCAATTAACAATATGTCAGTTGACCAACAGATTATTTTATAGGAGAAGTATATTCTTGGAAATTCAACGAAAATTTAGCATGTTCATATCTTAAAATCATGGCATTGTCAATATGTATGGTTTAAACAAATTATTATAACCAGCTCAGCAATTCAATGTGAAATACTAAAAAGTAAAACAAAAACAGTGAAAAGAAGAAATATAGTTTTCAGAAGTAAATAAGGAAAGGACGGCTTCATTTTACTAGTTAAATCGTTAAAATTAATACAATATAGAATCATAAACCGTTAGAACCACTAAATTTTATATGATATTGAAATATCATCAAACTACTAACACTTGAGTTCATTTAAAAAAAAATAATACTCCAGTAACACTTAAGTTTTAATAAATGTCAGACCAATAACCATTAGATCTGAAATTTTTAACAATTACTAGAAAATCTAAATCCTAATAACCTCCTCTTAATTGCAAAGACTGTTTACATATAAAGTGGCTTTCTTTTGAAAACAAAAACAAATAGCTGTATAATAAAAGTAGGTTATATTTCTATAAATGTACTGAAAATTAAATGCGATGCTCTGAAAATCTAGTTGCAACCCGACACCTGATGCATTAAAGTATTTATAGCTAAATTGGTTAGTGGTTGGTTTCATTTAACTTGGAACATTAATTAAAGCTTACTAAACTTCATGAAAGCAAGTTTTTGATACGCTTGGCTCTCTTCCGTTTAGATAGTCATATAACTTAAAATGACTCTTAAAGATTAATACAAATATTAATACAATTTAATCTACTGGTTTGGAATATAACGATATGACACAACGACCCCACTCTTATAAATCACAATTGTACTTTTCTTGGTCGAAACAATGTGTATCATATATATAGTTTTGATCCTAACATTTTTTTTTTAGTTTTGATCCTAACATTTTTTTTTTGTTTTGATCCTAACTTTTTTTTTTAGTTTTGATCCTAACATACTCAACACAATTGATTGTCATATGCTTTATTTATTAATTATATATATGCTATATATGTTTTCAAAATAAAATAAAAATCTTGCTAGCCTCAATATCTAATTAATTAACGAGAAACGTACTTGGACAGTTGGAGATGCTAGCGTTGTGGAGCTGACAAGAAGTTGGAAGTTGAATGAGTTTGGCTTCTTGAACACCAAGTTCCTTAAAAGCTTGTCCTCCTGACTTGGCTTGTTGTATCACGAAACACAAACACTTTGGATCTTTCTCTTTTATACCTTCGATAGCGTCACAACACTTCTTAGACGGATTTGGTGCCTTCCCTGACGCGAAATCCAAACAAAAAGTCACCGATTGAAAATATTGGTTACATTCGTTTAACAAAGGTCCTCCTTCCGCCGGAGCCGCCGGTGTAGCAGCGGAGATGGAGGCAACGACCGTCATGGTTACTAGGAAGAGGTGGAAATGAAGTCCCTTCATCATCAGATCGACTCTTTTTTTTTTGCTTTTTTTGTTCTCTTTGGTGATTTTGTTTTGTATTTAAAAGCAAAAAATGACTTTGTGGTGTATGGTGTAATAAATGTAACTGTGGTATGTGTAGTTGGGAGTTTAAATTCACACCTATAATACATATTAGCATTAACGACGCTGGTATAATTCTTGCTGACTTATATATTGACCTTTATTATTGACGCAGAGTGACATAACATATCGATTTATCAATGAAAAATGTGAATATGCTTTTAAAAACTAAATAAATAACGTATTAGCAGAATTTATTTGCGCAAATGATTATGTATGTAGCAAAATCATAAATAACTGGGATGTGGTTTCACATTTGTTTCAAGTAAATAATATGTAATCATAAAAAGTAACAAATTATTTGTAATTTGTTTATTATATATATCATGTTGTATTAGAATCCTTGTTCTAAAACTCGGCCGAGTAGCTGATTATACGGACGAAAAATCACTGATCAGAAGCTAAACGCCGTGATTAATAGCCAATCGGCTAATTAAATCGCTAAAGATTTAGTCGGCCGATTAGTTAAATTAATCACTGTTTAATCGGATTAATTACCGACTTATTGCGACAATTACTAGTTTAGGCCCAAATTGAAAGATGGACCCCAGCTTTGCATTCTTCCGATGTGGGAGGTTTGTAACTTGACATTTCATTAAAAAATCAGAGACAAAATAAGCTTTTTGAAGGGCATCGAACCCGAATCACTAGGCTGATGATTAACAAGGCTAATGTTTCCACCAGACTACGTTAACTTATTAGTACCCTATTCTATAAACATTTTATATATCTCTTGCCTTTGTAACTAAATTATATTTCTTTTATTTGTAAGTTGAAATAAATAGGACTATATTTTCTGATCTAATTTGGTAGGTATTTACAAATCAATGAATTTTAGTACCAATGATGTTTTTATACATAAACATGTATTATAATTTATACAAAAAATATTTTTATTATATTATATGTATTAATAAGATATTATATAAAGAAAATATAAAAAATTTCTCCCCGCTTACTCCCCGATTTTTTTCCGATTTTCTAATAAATCGCTAGGCCCCTATGTGTCGTACGCGTAGCGCCTACCGAGTTTCCGAACAAGGATTAGAATGCACTTTGAGCAGATGGTCTCAACTCTGTAATATCAGACAAATGGTCTTTGTATCAGTTTCTCGCTTTCTGTTAATAACACGTTAAAATAAATTTTCTGAGTGCCTTTGCAAACTATTTTTAATCACATTGGTTAACAAAAAACTTAACTTTATTCATGAAAGAGAAGAAAAAAAAAGCTAATGTAAGAACCCACATGGTAAAGAATGCTAGAGAGATAAGTTGTTTCATATCAGATTCACAAAAGAAAAAACAAAAAAAGTTGTTTCATATCTTTTTCAAGTTATTAGAATTCTGATTTTCTCCTTGAATACTTTGTAGTTTATAGATGGAGTTCGTGAATACCAAATCTGAAGACATGTAAAAGGCTAAAAGCTTCTAGGTTGTTTAGGTCTAACACTAAGAAAAATAACTTATGGTATACTTTGTATCAAATTGGCGTATAAATATGAAGGCTTCTTCCTACCGTATTGACCGATAAATTTATAAATAACGACTAAATCTATATTCTAACTAACTATGACATTAAAAATTTAATAAAAAAGCAATATAATCTCTAAACTAAAACAAGATCAACCTGTCCCTGTACTTTCTGTTGTTAAATACCATTATAGAATTATAAGTTCATTGACGAGATCTGAGAATTTGAACTTGTTACTTGTTACTCGTGGACAAATATTATACTTTATAGTGACTTATTTGATACGTCTCATAAATAAATCTCGTAGAGGAGACCCTCAACTAACTAACTAACTAAGAGCATCCACACCAATGAACCCCCCTTGGGGTTCATTGGGTTTTTTTATTATTTTTTGTGTGGGTCCGTGAACAGTAGTGAACCCGGATGAAACGTAATCTCCATCAAAGAACCCGAAATAGGAGTTCATAGGAATAAAATAATAATTTGTTTTTAAAAAAAAAATTTTGGATAAATTTTTTTTGAAGATTTAATATTTATTAGAATGAGATTTTTGAACAAGAAAAATAAAATTATTATTACTTTCTAACAAGTTATTATTGAAAACATTAATAATTCATGAGGATACAAAAGATTATTAATTTAGATTGCTAAACTTTTGCCAAACATTTTCAACCAAATCAGCTTTTAAACGAGCATGTGTCTGTGAATCTCGAATGTCATTGCGAACGCGATGCATATTACCGGCATTCAAAGTTGTTGTCGTTTGAACCTGCGAACCTCTGCTTGACTCTCCGGTCTCGAACTCAGATGTATCATACAAAGTGTATGAAAGTCGTTCGTCTTCCACTATCATATTGTGTAGTATTACACAGGTTCTCATAATCCTTCCTATTTTTTTTTATGTCCCATAGTAGAGCTGGGTTTCTAACGATTACAAACCTCGATTGCAATACTCCGAAAGCCCGTTCGACATCTTTTCTCGTGGATTCTTGACGTTCAGCAAATAGCTCTGCTTTAGCACCTTGAGGAAGTGGGATGGATTGGATAAACGTTGACCATTTCGGATAAATACCGTCGGTAAGGTAGTACGCCATGCGATAGGTGTGGTTGTTGACCTTAAAATTAACCTTAGGAGCTCGACCTTGTAAAATGTCATCAAACACTGGTGACCGATCAAGAACATTAATATCGTTCAGGGTACCTGGTAAGCCGAAGAATGAGTGCCATATCCAAAGATCGTGTGACGCCACGGCCTCTAAGACAATTGTCGGCTTTCCCGAACCACGTGTGTACTGGCCTCTCCAAGCCGTTGGGCAGTTTTTCCACTCCCAATGCATGCAATCGATGCTTCCTATCATCCCTGGGAACCCACGAACCTCACTGACATCGAGTAAGCGTTGAAGATCTTCTGCGGTAGGTCTTCTTAGATACTCGTCTCCAAACAAATGTATTATCCCTTCGTTGAATTTTTCCAGACATAAAAGTGCAGTACTTTCCGCAAGTCGGAGATATTCGTCATTTGAATATGCGGACTGACCATATGCCAGCATTCGTATAGATGAAGTACATTTTTGAAGTGCAGAAAGCCCGTACCTTCCATGACCATTTCTTCTTTGCTCAAAATATGGAACTTCATTACTGAGACGATCGACAATGCGAAGGAACAAAGGTTTGTTCATTCGAAAACGCCTCCTAAACATCTGAGGTGGGTATGTAGGAGTTTCACTGAAATAATCGTTCCATAGTTGGTTGTGTCCTTGTTCCCGAGCTCTTTCGATATAACGTTTCTTCTTCTTGGTTGCTTGAACATCAACAATATAGTCAATTAAATCATCGACTTGTTGGTCCACCATTTCTTCAAAAATTTCATCTTCTTGATCACTAGATGAGTAAGACATTATTTGAATATCCTACAATCGAAAAAAAAAACAAAAAAAAAATTGAGGTTAAAACATAATTAAGAGTTCTTTTTAAAAAAATTTAACATATTTTTGAAACCATTATAGTTATTAAAATTTCAAAAAACAGAGTACTCCTGCGTATCAAATGTTTTAAAAAAAATTAACATAATTTTGTGTTTCTTTCTCTTATCCACATAATATCAAAAACCTTTTATTTGAAAAGGAGGTTTAGCTATTGTTTCTCCTCTACCTTCACTTCCAGCTTCAGCAGTGACCTGCAATAACATAAGCCAACAACTATTAATATATAATTAAGTTCATGTAAGCTAATGGATCATGCCATATCGTTGTGTTGAAATATGATGTAAAACATAAAGACAATAATTGTTCTTGTGTTTAAACGTGTGAACTTGAGAAAGATAGAATGTGAACTTTTTCTTGTGTTTAAACTTGAAGACACTACTTGGAAGCAAAGAAAGACATGTTCCTGTCTTAAAAGCCAAAACGATAGATTGAAAAAAATACTAAAATCAAAACCTTGTTCTTGTCTTCAACTTTTGGCAAATAGAAATCAATATTCAGAAACTTAAAAACAAAGTGAAGAACGAGATATATAGAGAAGGAGTTGTACATTCATAAACGAAACAAGCAGTGCTTTTATAAAGGGAAGGAGTTGCACATATTACATTATGGTAGTGTACCAACAAAATTGTACACTACACCCGTGAAACAAAGCTACACTACACCCGTGATCTCTCTGTACAAAACAGAAAAAGAGAGACCAATACTAGAGAGCTACACTACACCCGTGATCTCTCTATACAAAACAGAAAAAGAGAGACCAAACTAGAGACCAACTACCCGTGAACAACAACACACATACATGCCACCACCTTCAGCCTGCAACCTCAAACCCGTGACCTGCACAAAAAGAACAAAACAACAAAGTAAATAAGTTAACATCGAAGCAAGAAAAAGAACAAAACAACAAAACAATTAAAAATCACAACAAAGCAAGCAAGTTAATATATTAGACCAGATCAGATCATTTCTTCAATGAGTTTGTTTTTAAGCTCGAGTTCCTTAGCCGAGAGTTGATCCTCATTTTTGGCAAGGAGACGCTCAAGGAGCTTCTGCTTCGAAATGATTTTCTTCTCAGCTAGAATGCTCTCGACTTGGTCAAAAGCTGCTTCATTCGTGTGCTTCTTGCGTTTGGCAGCTTTGCTAGCCTTGACACCCGGAGGTCTAGCCTCTTCCTCCTCAGGCAACACCTCCCCTGGTTCCTTTCTTTTTTCTTTACCAGCATCTTTGGCAGCATCAACAGAAGATTTCCATTTTTGCTCATACCTGAGCGCTCTCCAACAGTGTTCAAGAGTGAACTTCACCGTGTAGTCATTCGAGAAGATGTCATGGGCCGTCTGCAATAGATCATTGTCATTTCTACCACTGCCTTGGTCCTTCAAAGCTGCTTCATAGCTTCCCACGAACTTACACACCTCTGCATTTACTCTTCCCCACCTCTGCTTACACTGACTCCACTCTCTTGGAGTGTTGCCACT